AAAAAAAAAGTTAGATAATTGTTACACTGGAATATAATGAGGCAAATGCACTGGGAGCTCTATCTTTTGTTAAATGAATTTATGAACAATAATAATAATCACTAGACATATCAGCATCCATGTGCATACTGGGCAGTTTATCTGTCAGATGAAATGCTGAATATTGCGTATCAGCAGTTCTCAGAGTGCAGTCTGGGAATTTCGTGTCCTCAAAACCTGTCTGGGGGCCAGGGATTTAGCTCAGTGGTTCTGTCGCCTGCGTCACCTGCCTCCGAGCATAAGGTCCCGAGTTTGATCCCTGGTACCAAAAAAAAAACCTGTCCGGGTGACTGGGAAAGTTAAAACTAACTTTGACATCTCTAAGATATGACTTTTTCACTCTTTCTCTCACTACCATAGTTTTCTAAAGGCTATATGATATAATACAACAGACTGTATACAGAAGCAGATATGAGAATCCAGTTGTCTTCTATTAAGCCAGACAGTAAAGACACAAATTTTTTGTTTTAAAAACTATTTATCACTAAAACCATATTGATATGTTAATAGGAATGGGTTATTTTTATCTTTTAAACAAATTACTATCTAAAATGTCTCATTCTTAACAATAAAATTAATAGATTTAACATTTGCATAGAAAAGCTCTTTGCAGTCCTAGATTTGTAAGAGTGTAAGGGGTCATAAATTCAATGAGTTTGAAAATAAATTCTTTATATTTAATGTGCAACTTACAAAATTGTAGTTCTATCACTATTCTAACACAAATGAAAACAAGACAGACACTGAAGTAACTTGCCCAAGATTACCCAACAAGTCTCTTAAACCAGCCTTTGCATACAAGTTTAATTCCTGACCCTCTCTCCTCTTCACTGGTAAGCAACAGTGTCTACCCAAGGCCTGGTTAAAAACGACTCACACAGTTACATGCTAGTATCTGTTTAAAAGGCAATGTTCTATACTGATCTGTGTTCTTTGTCTTTCAGTCTCAGAAAGTACTGTGTGTTCAATGTAATGTTTGAAATGTATGGAATTAACTTTTTTCCAACTCAAACACTACAAAAATAAAATCCCAGATAGGAGTGGTGGACATGTCAGTAATCCCAGCACTCTGTGAAACAGAGGCAGGAGGATGGCAAGTGTGAGCCCTGCCCAGGCAATTTAGAAAGACCCCATCTCAAATTAAAAAATAAAAAAGGGCTGGAGATATAGCTCTGTACAAAGGCCCTGGATCCAACCCCCAGTACCACAAAAAAAAATTTTTTTTTAATGAAATCCCACCACCACCACAAGTATCCAATGAAGAAAACTACTGCCAAGATTTTGGTGCTCATTTATGTAGCATTTACTTATACACACAGGCATGCGTACGTCTACTTTTTTTATCTGGATAAGGGCATTTCTTAAGCGGGGTCACATGAATTTAGCAACTTGTCTTGTTTCAGTTAATGCCTCCTTAAGAATTTCCTGCAACTACAAACAGATTTACCACTTGTTACAGATTACCATCATTTCACTACACCCAACTGAGGTCCCCAATGTGACTTACTCAAGGTTTCTGCAATTATAGAGACAGTCCCCAGAAATATGTTGCAATTTGTGTTCAGGAAGTCATTTCTGCCAGAAAATTCCTAGAAGTAAACTTGCTGAGTTAAAGGGTATGAACATTAAAAATCAATAGATTTCCCAGAAGTCCTCCAAAATGCCCATGCCCAATTTACATTCTAACTGACTGCATATGAGATTTCCTCCACTAATGCAGCTTTTACATGCCTTCAGAAATTATATTTTATGTTGCTTCAAAATGACAAGTACAACTGCTCTCACTTGTCATCTTAATTCCAATCAGTACCCTACACAAATAGTGCTCACCCATCTCTATTTTTTCCTTATACCTTTTAAATGCCTTGAAGACAAAAATAAACCAGGTGCACAAAAAACTATAGTGACCCCTCAAGTTTAGGTATCTAGATAAAGTTATCCAAATTATTTCAAAAGACACAAATCAGAATTGAGCAATAAAGCAAGTCTCAAACACTTAAAGGAAAGCTTACACATGGGTTTATTATGCTTTACCTGCCCATTCAAAGCACTGAAGGCTACAGACAAAAAGCTATTAAATCATAGCAAATTAGCTCACATAAAATAATAAGCCAATTTCATGTCATAAATGTCAATGGAACAGACTGTAATAGTAAAGATGGTTGTAACTGGAAAGTTCACTGAAATTCACATCATACTGAAAATGAAAACAATATTTTAAATTAAATGTTTTGAATGCGACTATTCGTCTTATCAGATTAGTATAAATCTTTGATGTTAATAAATAAAATATAGTCTTTTCTTGAAAGTAGATCATTTACAGAGTAAAGATGTGTTAATTCAAATCCAATTAGCTCAATTCTGATAGGATATATGTAATTCCTATTCAGCAACAAGTTGAAAATACTGTTATTTCTTCCCCTACGAGTTCTCATACTATTACTGCAAAGTAAAGGAAATCAACCCGAAAATCAATTTGCCCTTCTAACGAAAGATTTATAAAACCAAAGACTCATCCACCTCATGGCTAAGCAGTTCTAGGTTCATCTGTGTTTGTCGGCCACTGTGTATAGTGAGTGGTTTAACTCATCACTATTAACAGTGATTTACAGTTTAGAGTATGAGAAATTCTTTCAAATACGGATTTTCTCTCAAATTTATTTTTGTAATTTCTCCCTTGTCAAATGGGTGAAATTATATCCTATCACTTAGAGATCCACAACATCACAAAACACTGCACCTTAAGAGGTACTACTAGAAGAAAGTAGCTTTAGAAATGCTTGGCATTCTTACTCTGCATTCATTTATTATTCTGCTTATAAAATCTTTCAAAATGATAAGTACCAGGATTAAAAGGCATGTTTGGTGTTGCCTGAACCCACAACTATTCCCAATGAATAGTGCAGCCTTCTCTTGCAATCGGAATCATGTGTAATTACTGTATGACAAGGTCTCTCCTGGGCGACGTAAACTGGCATTCTTCCCAGGACTTGTCACATCACAGGAACCACACATACAAATAAAAATCCAAAAATAAACACTTTAAAACAATGGCTTATACACAGCATAAAGAAGCTCCTCACTCAAGAATAAAAATCATAGAGTCCAACCAATAGGCATCCTTGATGAAGAGATCTGAGAAGACTCCCTGTCCACACTGCTCACCACACCTAGCAACAACTCCCAGGTGTGGACCAGTGGGCAGCACCCTCACGTTCCCTCAGGATGGACAGAAAATCATTAAGTCCAGGAAATAAAGGGAAACCTCACCACACATACCCACTGAAGCAGAGAAAAACAGAAGAGGCTGATCATCTTCCATTTCACAATGCCAATTTGTTGATTGTTAAGGTTCCTAAACAAAGTTATCTTAAGAGCTGAGTTAATTTTCCTAATATAACAAATATTGCTTTTTGGTTAAGTGTATTTCACCTTGAAGTGAATACCAGCCAAATAGCAGTAATAGTGTATACCAAGGATCTTAGAAGGTAGTTTCTTTTGTTTAAATTCCTCTGAGATGGCTCTACAGACACATGGAAAAGGATTCCAAGCATCATATCCAGTCTTCTACAATGACAGAAACTTAACAATCCTCATCCTTATCACAGCTTTGAAGAAACATAAAGTATAATATCCCAATCTCTATTTTGGTATAAAATACTAAATGTTATTTCCTGTAACCCAGGCATACTTCTGGCCTTCTACTAGGACCTGGTTGCATTTATTAACCATCCAACAAAGCTCATCGAATTCAACTGTGTAAGTTTTGAAGAGGAGCTACAAACCAAACCATTAAAGGCACAAAAATACATTTGTACTTGCCAGTACATGACCACCGGAACGCACCAACACAAACTCCGCCACCTCCTTTCTTTATTCAGCCCCCAAAGGTTCAGTAATTTCCACATCGCTCTAAGCAGAACAGATTTATTATGATGTTACTTTAAGAAACTGCAGGAGTTCTAGATGCCAATAAAGATTACGGATCAAATGGAAGATAACTACTAACCATTGTGTCGACTTAGATAAATAAACCTGCTCACAAAGCACCTTATTGTATTTGTACTGTTACCTCCACTAATCCAACTGAAACAACCAGACAGTAGCTTTCTAGAGGCTGAAAGCAATAGAAACAAAGATTTCTCAAACCCCCTTTAAGTTCTTTTAAAAGGACAACCCTTTTCTCTTTTCCAAAGCTGTCCTCTTTATGGAAAATGTCTCAGACTCCAAAAGCTCAGCAAGATTGTGCAAATTAGACTCCAACGCAGGGAAGGACAGGAGATAACCGCAATACAACATCTCTCTGAAACTTCTTTCACAACCCTTGAAGAAAGCCTCTCCCTGTGGATCATATCTAGCAACATTTTACAACCCTGCCCAAAATCGAAGCAGCAGTCAAACATCACGGGGGAAAGAAGGCAGGAGAAGGAGTAAGCTCCCCCACAAAATAAAATCAAGACTGGGGTGGGGTGTGGCAGTGGCTAATCCCCAAAAGAAGTCTTCGGCAACTGGCATTCAGTGCTTCCCACAGAGGGAAAAGCAAAGATGCTAAAGAGAATTGGCTTCTCAGGGCGGAACATTAATTACATTCAATGCACTTCTTGCTAACAACACAGATAAATTCCTGTTTCTTCAGGAAAAAAAAGGGGGCGTAAACTACGTACTCCCTACACTCACTCCCCAAGCCTCCAAACCTAACAACTAATTACTGCTTCCCCACAGACTGGCGGCCGGCGAGGGCCCCGAGGGGAGTAAACAGGCTGCGAGGAGTAAACAGGACACCTGACGTCCATCCTCTGCTGTGGCTTCGCGAAGCCCAGGTCGCGCTCGCGCGGGGCGCAGCCGTACCGGGGTCTAAGGCCACGCGGACGGGCGGGCGGCGCGGGAGCGCCAGGCCGAGCGATTGTCTCCTCGCCGGCAGAAACATTTTTTATCAGGGCTCTTTTGTATTGGAACCCTACCTCTTTTTGGCCTAGGAAAGCTCTCGTGCAAGTGGAAGACGACTTTCTCCACGAAGTGCTGAATGTTGCTGTGCTCCGGGCCGCGCACGAACACCATCCAGTCGTGGGTGAAGCCCTCCACGGTGGGTTTCTTCCGCACCTGGGCGCGGTGCCCCAGCTCCAGCTTCACCTGCACGGCGCACTGCGGGCGGGGGAGACAGCCGTGAACAGCACGAAGGCGACGGCTCGGCACCGAGCCCTGCGCCTGACATTTCCTTTCAGCCAAAACGCTCATAAAAGGAGGCGGCAGAGCCCCCGCACCCACGCCTGCCGCGCACACCCACGGCCGCGAGCGGTCTTAACGGATGCGGCCCCTGGAGGGAGGGAGCCGGGCCGCCAACGCGTCGGTGTCGAGCGGGAAGACAATCGGGGCCGACGCGGGCGGCCTCGGGCGTGAAGGGCTGGGCCGGGGGTTGGCCTCCCCAAAGTGCCGCGGTGCGGGGTACACGCCGGGAGGTCTTTGTGTACCCGTGTGTGTGCGTGCGTGTGCAGCTCCTCGCCGGACGGAATACAAACTGCGGGCCGCCCCCGCCGAAGCGCACACACTCCCGCGGTTTCACCGGGGGCCGTGCACAGCAAGAGCTCGACGTCGCCGCACACACGCACTCACGCCCGCAGAAGGCTCGCCGGGGCGTCCGCGACTCCAGCGCCGGGCACACCCCCGCGAGAGCAGCGCGCGGTCGGGGCCGGCGGGATACAGCCCCGCAGCGCTCTCAGGCCCTCTCCTCGCCCGAAGGCCGGCGCGGGGCGCGGGACTAGGAACGCCGGCTGGGAAGTTGCGCGCAGCCCCGCTGTCACCGCGCGGACGAGGGGCACGCACCATCGTGGGCCGCACCGCGGAGCCGCTCGGACGCTGGACCACGGCCGGGTGTATCCGCCTCCTCCGCCGCACCGAGGGAGCGCGCGAGTGCGAATGCGAGTGCGCTCTGAGCCGGCGAAGGGCGAGGAGGGCGGCGCGGCGCGGGTGGGGCGAGCGCGCGAGTACGAGTGCGCGCGCCGGCGGGGAGCGCGGCCGCGCGGTACTCACCGAGCTAGCCATGCCGGGCCAGGTCCGCGGGCGCCGAGGTCCCGCCCGCCCCCGCGCTCAGCTGGAATTCATGGAGCGGCCGCGGCGCTCGAGCGCGCGCCCCGGAACGCAGGGCGAACGGCGGACATGCTCTGCCGATCCCGCGCTCGCCCGCTCGCCCACTACACTCAGCCCCAAGGCAGAAGCGGCGGCCGAGGCAGCGGCTCCAGGGCCGGAGGATGGTTCCCGAGCATGCGCCGTGGCCGACTCCAGGCTCCAGCCTCCCGGGGCGGAGGGAGCGCGCGGGGCGGGGCGCTGAGGGCCGGGCCAGCGGGCCGGGAAGCTTGGGGAGCCAATCAGCGGGTGTCCCCGAGCGCCGCCCCGCCCCGCTTGAAGTAACAGGTTGGGGGCGGGGAGAGGGGAAGGACGGGGGGGGAACGCCGGGGCGTGGGGGGGGCCAGGGAGCCCCGCCGCCTCACAATAAAAACCGGATTAAACCGCTGGAATGCGCGCGCCCGGAGCCGCGCAGCCGGAGCAGGTTGGGGGCGGGGTCCCTCCCCACCGCATATTTTTGTGGTTTTGTGCTGAGAGGAAAGCACTCACACCCAAACAAACTTGTGTGAAGCGGCGGGGAAAGCTGCCGCGCGACCCGCCTGGGAGGCTGCGGGCCTGGACGCGCGCGCGGGCGCCCCCTCCGGTGGCAGGTGTGGTCGGGCCCGCCAGGCGGCCGTGGCTGGCATCGGATCGCGGCCCTCGGGTCAGGCTGCTGTGGGCACCGATTGGGTCGCTTCTCCCGCACGCTGTGACGGCCCGGTGCGTCTCTAGCGTCAGCCCACGCGGCGCCTCCCGCGCTTTGTCTCGGTCGTGGGAGCCTAGCGCTGCGGCGCGTGGAGCGGGGAGAGCTCCCGCGGGCCTGAGAAACGCAGATACCCTCAGAAAGGAAACGGATGCGACCTAGACGCTGGAGACGAAACGAAAGATGTCTTGACTTTGGTTTGTTACATGAAGCTCCTACTCTTGGTGTTTTGGTTTTTGGTTTTGGGGTCTTTCCTTTTTTTATTCCCCCTTTTCCGTCATCCCTCAACTTATGCAACTTTCCTTCCCTCTTATCTCCTCTTTATGCCTCAACTTTCGTGCTTCTTTTCCTCTTTCCTTCTTAAGGTCACCAAAGCAAGGTTGTCTTTGCCCTTGGATATGAGAGCAGAAAAGCAGGAAGCAGATTATCCGGGGTTTTGGGGTCCTTGCTACCTTTTAATGTTCAGTTCTTCCCACTGCTCACACAAAGATAACGAGAATCAGATCGGGCCGCTTGAGCCAGCTATAATCTGCAAGCCTCCAGCTACAGCAGTTTGATCCTCTAAGGCTGATACCTCACCCAATCACAATCCAACACCTATTCGGTTGAGAATCCCAGTCTTTCTCTTTCTACAGAATTTAGCATTGAGAGGAACAAACAAGTGAGGGGAAAAACATTGTAATCCAAGTCTAAGGGCCCAGATTTCTCAACCCAATAAATACCTGCATATCTTGTACATATACATAAGTCCGTATCACATACAGAAGTGCAGGCCGTCTTTCAGGTGTGTGTAGCGGTGTCAGTGTGTATAAGAATTAAGTCTGCATACAGATAGACAAGCTACATATGAGTAGTATCTATGTAACAAGTGAACCTACCTGCTGTACATTATTAAACTTTTGATAAAATGATCAAACTGGGAAGAAGTCCTTGATGATAAGATGGGAAACTGAAGGTTAACTGGGTGGGTCATTAATAAAGCCATTTCCTGTTAAACGGTAACCTGTAGCAGTGAATGTGAGTTAGGGCTCAGGTGAAAAACAGCAATCCGATTCCCATCTGAGTCGGTTTCAGGGCTCAGCTAGCTTTTCAAGGTGTCTGTCTTGCTCTTTGGGAGTCTCACTAAAAGGAACCCGTGTGAGAAGCTAATGTCTCTTTTGGTTAATTACATGTTTGCTGAATTCAGATTTATGTCCGCAATCACAGATAAGTCATAGAGTCTGACAGCGTCTTTCCCCAATACCCTTCTTTCTCAATGCTTTAAAACTCCCCACGTGCAGTAATTCCCACTCTCCAGACATTGGAAATTTAAATCCTGTCGGTAGATGGCGCACAGACCCTGCCACGGACGTCCTTACGTGAACTCTTTACAACAAAAAGACTGGCACTGAAAGGAAAAACATCTTGAATACTCTAGGTTCAACTTTGAACAAAGGAATTTATACCAGTCTTTCAGATTACTATTTAACCTTTTTTAATAGGTTGGATATTAAGAGCAATCAAAAGAGGAATAACATTAATTTCCTATCCCACATATCTGGAAATTTTCACACTTTACATGAAGTACAAATGTGAAAAACTACCTGTAGAAAATATGTTGAAATCAAATTTTAAGATAAACTTTAGTGAGGGCCAGGGATTTAGCTCAGTGGTTCCACCGCCTGCCTTGCAAGCACAAGGACCTGAGTTCCATACCCCGTACCAAACAAAAACAAGATAAACTTCAATGCTAAATACTAAATAATGTAATTAAAATGAAAATGCCAGATGTGGTGGTACACACCCATAATCCCAGCACTCAGGAGGCTGAGGCAGGAGGATTACCTTGAGTTCCAGGCCAATCTGGGCTATATGGTGAGTTCAAGGCCAGTTTTGAATACATACCAACACCTTATTTCAAAAAAAAATTAAAATCTACTTATCCAAACAGCAATTGTCTTACCAAAATTCATACTACAGTGTGTACAACAGTATAAACCACCATGGGGTTAGCTTGAAGAGCAGAAAGCTATTGACATCATATCCAGTAAAAATTGTGACGAATAATAAATGACCACAGTGTCTGTGATCATTCTTAACTCCCGATCACAACCACTACCATCACCACTGCCTTAACACTATTATTTATGACTCCAACCTTTTCATTCGCAATTATTCTGTTCAGTTTGGAAGTTGAGGCTAGTTTTGATTATCTGGCAGAGCAAAAAGAGGGCCTTTAAAGTGCTATTAGGATGTTAAGGAGCATCCTAAAATAAAATTTATCTGTTCATTGTGATAGATTATTGATGCACAACCTCAATAAAAATTAATTGCCCATCCTTCATTGTATGGATTTGAGGGGAGGCGAAGGTGCATTTGGAAAGCTAAGTAATGAGACAGTAAACATGCATTACACTCAGAATATCTGGGGATTTCCCAATAACACTGCACTTCTTCTGTGTACTCCATACGTATCTTTATCCACAAAAACTGCTCCATGCATCAGGCATGGAGCATCCAGTGTAAGAATATAAGAATGACAGGCTTTCTGCTGTTGCAGAGTTTATAACCCAGGGGAGAAGTTTCACCAAAGTTATTTCCTTCTTTATTTCATAATACCTAAGTTTGAGGTAGATATATGTGTCCCACATAAACAAGCAGCACAGAAATCTGACATGACCAGCCCAAGATGAGAAAAACCCAGCACAGGATTAGAATCTAGGAGTAGTTTCCCTGAATCCCACCTTTTAATACTTCAAAAGGAGAGGGTGTCTGGCAACCACAGCCAATTCCTCAATTTCCTTTTCCTTGATCTGAAGTATTTCCCATGTTCACTTTATTGCAGTTCTTTTGGGGGAAAAACATAAATCCTTTAATGAGAGAAAGCTAAGTCTTTTCCAGATTTTGTACATAGACAGTAAATTGGAACTGTCTCCCTGTTTTTTAGGCAGTTTTTAAATTTCAAAATGTTACAATGTGTTGGGAACACCAGAAGAGTAAAAAATCCTTATTACTGTGAAAAAAACAATTGCTTTGATATACACTCAAAGAGCTATTTCCAGAGATAAGAAATTCATGGGGATTTTTTTAAACACCAGAGCCTCTTCATGTGTAAATCATTCCTTGAGAGTCATTTAAGCAATGCATTTATACATTTAGAAGACGAGTCTCTCCACAGTAATAATTTATTAATTTGTTAGGCTGTATCCCTAAATTTAAAAGCAGCACCTCAAGGCCTGAAAATTAATAGAAGATATTATGTGAGACCAGCAATGTGAAACAAGATAAATATTAGGGGTCAGTTGATAGAAGGTTATTGAAAATGTTTCCCTAATATATATAGGGATCCCACTGATAGTTGTAGGTAAAATACATAATAAATTGAAACTGCTTGCTGGGGAATTATCTGAAAAGTTGACCATTTTACTGTATCTTTATGCACCTCTGCCATCTCTTAAAGGCTACTGTGCTTTCCATCATTCTTTACGTAATCTCTTTGATTTTTAGTAAAAGTTTGGTTTATTTTCATATATATATTTTATCAAATACAGTAAGGCTCTATTTTGCCTTATAAACTAATGTAGTGAACTCAAACTTCAATTAAAGTGCAAAAGAAACATTGGAAGAGGAAATTACTCCCTTCCCTTTACTAGATGGAGTGACCGTGGCTTGAAAACAGTCCTAAGCCTCTAAGAAGCAAGTGATTTACTACCCTCTATTAGGATCAAGTATCCTTGTTGGGTTAAGCTATTTATAGTCAGCCCAGAATAATCCACACGTACATTACCCACTTTGTAGATAATCCACAGTGATGCGATTTATGTGTGGGGGTTTTAAATGTAAATTTATGTTAGAGGCAGTTTTTTTAAACTATACAAAATGCATATGACTGCATCTACTTGTCAGTTTTCACTCATAGTTCTTCACAGAGAAAAGTTAATATATTAATCTATTCTTTCTCTTTTGGAGCTTATTCTAAATTTTCTAAATGTTATTAAGAAAAGCTTCTAAATTCTATTAAGCAATTTGTCATCCCAGATATACAATGCTTTGGTAAAGAACTATGGAGCTTGGAAGCAATACTACTTGATAGGAAATAAGCACTATTCATTTATCAATGTGCTAAACCAAAACAAACCTTAGCGGCTATTACTAACTGTGGCTCTATTGTATATCCCCTGTGAAATCAACTCAGGGAAAATCAATGAAAGACTATTCTCTAAACATTATTCCTAACCATTTGGGGGAAATTTCAAATTTTAACAAGTATATGAAAATCATTTATGAATAGCAAAAGAACTTTATTTATTTCTATACAATTAGACCCTTAATGTTCATTATTTCAATCTTTTGTCTTACGTTTCATGACTTTGACATTTTACTTTTATTATTAATTCAGTCCATTCAGTGAACTTCCACTGAAGGTCAGCCAGTGTTCTTGGTCCTTTGAAAACAGGATACAAATAGGGGATGCCTCTAATGCTCTCATTTATATCAACGCATTTTATAA